AGAGAAGTTGCTGAGAACTACGCTGGCGGTTCTAGAAGTTTCTTTCGAAACCAACACCATTCTCAACTACAACTCATTCGGCGGACGTTCGGTTTTCTTTGTGAGAACTGCTGCACCATTCGTCCATTTATACAGATTCAGGTACCAGGCTGAATTGGAATTAGCATTTTCTCTTGGAAAATGAATTGAAAGAGTGATGCATACCAGATGCTAAGAACGCAAAGGAATCGGCATTGTGTTGGCGGTTGTTTGCTGAAGGAGGACTGCCACCTGTAGCGCCGGGTGCATGACCAGCGATCTTCTCGTATCCATACACTTCTCCAATGTTGCCGTCTGGAAGTGCCGCTGGACCTATTGGGCTTGTTAGTTGTCTATATCGAGATGCAATTGGATGTGAAGTCTTACATTGCTGCAGATTTGCGACGTGTATCAACTCGTGTATGATCATATAGCTCAGATATTGTCCCACTGTTTCGATACCCTGAGAATATCTCCTCAAGTCTCCACCTTTTCGCCAATCGCCGATCTCGCCTTTGACATCTTTGGTTGATGTAATTGCGCCTCCATCCCAATTCGAGCAGAGAACCACGGCGTTGCCACCAGGCTGCGATCCATCCTTAAACCCAAAAGGGTAAACAAAGGCACGAAGATTGCCCTTGCAAGGTCCAGTAGCACCAGGGACGGGAGGTTTGGCACGAACCTGCGCTTGCCTGTTATCGCCGTTGTCGAAATACACACCCCGAAAGCCATCTTCCGGGTATGTGAGATGATCGTCCGAGCAAAATATCAGGACACCTCGATCGGGCGGTTGCCTTTGTCCTGTAGTATCTATAGCACCCTGGAACTGTGCTACATGACGAAGTCAGAAATTGGATCAGATCACCTTGCGCACCTGGGCAGGGCTGGAGAATTAGGAAACTTACTATGTGCGAGATTCAGAGTGGCTTGGTCGTGCTCATCTGGCGCTCCAAGAAGGTCTTGTAGGAGTGTTGCATCGGTTTGTATGTATTGTGTGTTTTGTGCCCGCTTTGAAGCGTAATCCAGGACTTCGAACACAACTTTCATGGTGTTCTCCACTCGAGTTGCTGTTTCACCAGTGCAACTGGAATGTAGGGCCCATGCCGAAACGTGGACTGCCTGAATGCTCATAAAGAGAAAACAAAATAGTTCAGACCGCATGATGACCTCGGGAGAGACGATTGAGGATAGAATGAACGCTCAAGAACTAAAGGATATGCTGAATGGGGAGTTGTAGAGCAACTGCCACAAAATGTGATCTCGAATCCAGAGGGTGAGAGGAATGCCATCATATATGGTGGCCATTGCATGCTAAATTTGTTCGCAGGCATCTGCCCAGGTGTGAAGATGTTGCGTAAGAAGGACCCCAAAGCTAGTCCGCACGGCTGAGAAGCCGGGAAACAATCTTAACCCAGCCTTGTAGATCTTGTCCTGGAATACTTGAGACTCGGAGGTAAGACTATGGGGGCAGAAAGTTTGAGATTCCCCCAATGAGGTATCATCTCTCCCATGAGTGGCATTCCTGAGTTACGCCCCCCGTGGCTGCGCTCAGCTCACGTTGCCTTACAGCCCCTAACTCCATTAAAATCGCATAGTCAAATTATCCAGGACCCATTTGTACCTAGGTATCAGCAGCTCCGGGGCCAAAATCAAACCCCCCGGGGCCGCACTCAGCTTACGTTGACTTACAGCCCACAAACCTGTTTCAATCGCAAAGTAAAATTAGTCAAGGCCCCACTGTGCTTCTAATCAGCCTTGGAAGTTTGGAAACTGGAATACCTAGGTATAAACTTTCCCGATGCTCCTCGCTTTGTTGAGCTGCTATAAGCAACCACTGAGATACATTCGGTGAGGATCACACAAAACCAATAAAGAAGAGAAGCTATTTGGATTGCATCAAGGTATGTCCTGGCGTTTAAAAGCAGAAGAAGCTTGAAGACCGCAACGAAACTCATTGATGCCCAGAAACCTACCGAACTATCGTTGCACGGAAACTGCATCGCCAACGCTGTCTCCATCATGTGGACATTCCGAACCATATTGATATTTGCTTTCCTTGTTTCAAACATCTCCCTCGTGAACGGAGCAGATTGCGACTCGAACCAGCCCCGCAAAGAAGGGGACCCCTCAGGCGCAGACATCGCCAGCTTTCTTTCTGGTGCCCTGAACGACCCCAATGGCATCATCTGTGCTGGTGGATTCCCACCACTAAACAATACACTGAACAGCACACTGAACAGCAAAATCACTACCTACAATGCACGCTCGATGCTTTTCAATGTTACACGAGAAGACGCCACCAAGCCCATTGAGAATTGCAACGAAGCTTTCTCGAACATCATTGAACAATGCATCCAGAACGACAACTATTGGGGCGGGGTTTGGTCGCTCAATGGCTTCATCTACACCATCGCCGACACAGTCTTTCCAGAGAATGGCATTCAAGGCCCAGAAGACCCTGGGTCTCCTACCCCATCACCATCTTCAACGCCAACACCATCTTCAACTCCAACACCTTCTTCAACCCTGTCGCCATCTTCAATCCCGTCGCCATCTTCGATCCCGTCACCGTCTTCGATCCCGTCACCGTCTTCGATCCCATCACCATCTTCAACGTCAACTGTGCTCACAGAGACGGATTCGGCTGGAAGTCTAATGACTTTGACTGTGAGTCAATCGCAGACAGCAGTATTTTGATCCGTCTTCTGACTAAACAATACAGTTCGTTCCCTCCACTGTTCCCGAATATACGACCTTAACAACAGCAACGACGGCTTCGACTACCACGACGGATTCTAGTGGCGCGATCATTGTCATTCCTCTAATCATAGGGGCTGGTGGAGTTATATGGGGTAAGCATGGGTGAAACACTTGCCTCGAGCGAAGCTGACAATGAACGCAGTGCCTAACGGGGGTGTTCCTCTGCCACCGGGTGCGACGCCTCCTTCAACACCACCTGGAAGCGATAGTGAACCTGAACAGCCAAGTGGAAACCCTGATGTCACTACAACTGATGGCCCGACTACGACTGATGGTCCGACTACGACTGATGGTCCGACTACGACTGATGGTCCGACTCCAACGTCGTCATCTCTGTCTTCGTCTTCATCAGTCGCTCCTGTGCCTACAGTGACCCTCGTTGGAGACCCTCCACTACCTGACTACCAAGAGATCATGGGCATCGAACCTTCCGGCCCACTCCCAGACGACCCTCCCGATACCAAGTCGGAATCCTCTCCCGATACCACCTCGGCCTCTTCCGATGCCCCTACCGCGCCCCCGCCCACTGCTCCTGCATCATCTTCTCCCTCCCCCACACCAGTACCGTCGAAAGTCGCTCAAACCCCTATCGACCCTCACGTCGGAACGCCAGAGTGCTTCCCAAGCCACGGGACTACCGATGCGGATCGAATCATCTCCATAGTGATGACTGATGAGCGAATCAGCACATTCTGTGCCGGCACTGAACCAGATTGGACGCAAGTCGGGGCCGACTCAGGGGGAAATGGCGATCCCAAAAACAACAATCGTTACGACGCAACGTTCACCATGGACGCGAACGCCCCAGAGCTTTGCGACCTGTTGTATACGGAGAAAGGGAAGTCTCAGCCAGATGTTCAGAATGCTTGTACCAGCCCATTCCAAGCAATCAGGGAGGCATGTCCGTTCAATGGCGGACAGGTGAAAGCAGATTGTGGAGTGTGGACGCTACAAAGTTGTCCGTCCGGTGGGAGCTGTAAGGTTGGAGAGCCGGGTCAGCACTGTCAGATGAATCCAGGGAGCGCAGTGTGCTTGTGATTGATGTAACATTCGCACACGAGGTCTTTGTAAAGAATTTTCCAGCTGGAGAAGCTGGTTAGAAGTAGTGGATCGTCAGTCGTCCTCATTTAGATAGTTCATCACGTAGTCAACGCCCATCCACGTGTGATGGAACAACCGCCATGATAAAACAACTCACAGGCACCTTATCTTAAATGGAATAGAATCATTTTCTGTCACTGAAAGACGTTATCCTGCAGGATGACACACCAAGCTTTCCGACATTGTGGAGTCACTCCGCGTTCCAGAGCGCTTTGTCCACCCTGTGCTAATTTAAGGTTAGTGTATATAGCAATTGCATGGAACACATTTCCCAGACCGTTTTAGCTAGTCACTTCAAAGAGAGCGACTTTCGTACTAATCTTCACCGATTGACCCGTAGAAGAGCCAAGCTTCCAAACGCCGTCAAGCCTCGAGTCATCACCCTACAATATTCAATCCAGACTCTTCTTCAATCACGATTTTCACAATGAAGACCTCTATACCCCTCATTATCTTGGCTTCGGCCACCGTCACTATGGCCCGCTGCTTTCCCGACAGCGGCCAGAAATGGGCTACCGAAGCCTGCAAAGACGCGGCTAGGGGTGCTATCAGGGACCTTTGTAATAGCGGTAGGCTCGCAGGCTATTTTCATCAGGGCGAAACCAAGTACGCTTGCGCCAATTGCCCTTCCGCGGGCATCAAGTTTGATTTCGCTGTGGGTTGGCAAGGCCGAGGCGGCTTAACCCTCAAGAATGAAGACTGCATTAAGCGACTGACCGACGAGGTTAATGGCTGTCAAGCCGGCGGCGAGAAAGTTACTGCTGACTGGCTTTTCCGGTAAGTTTTTGTGTACACACAGTTAGCTTTGCACGGACGAAAACAGCTAACAACGTCTAATTGTAGGTCTGACCCTAACACGGGCCGGTGCTGAGTATATCAGCTCGTGGGATCAAAAGCGACTGAGAAGTTACAATTGGTATGGAACAGGATGGAGGAATGCTTGTGGTCGTATGTGAAAGGATATGTAGTTGGTGCTGAATAAAACGTACCAAACCCTTCGTGCAACAGCAAACCACCACTGAACACTGAAACGGGTATGACGAACTGTCACCAACATTTTATGGGATAAACGCGTGATACGACAAAGGAGTTGATACTGGTGCCTATAGTACCATATGAGGTTACTGCATTCGACCCGAAGCCGGCCACTGCAGGTTCGAAGCTGAGAAGGACGGAAATGCGAAAGGCGGGATAAGCATATTGCCCGCCCCCACCTCAGCATCACCGAACATCTCTTCGATATCATTCTACATCATGGTTAGCAATGCCAGTGTGTGGTGGGGCGAGAGTGTTACTTACCCAATCGATGTCGTTGATAGCGTCCATCGCAGTGTTACCGTTAGAACCAGCTGCTATTCCACCCTCGTACATGGTAGAGTTCGGACTACTGTTACTACTTTCACCTTGCTGAGCGGTGGTTGGCATCAGATTGCCTGGACTATTCCCAGGAATGACGTCGTAGGTTGAAACAGATACTGTCGCCGGCATGTCGATGGTACCCCAGTCTACAGTCGGCATAGCGCCAGGAAATGTGTTGAGCCTGGGTACTAACGTGGACTGAACCTGAGAAGTCTGTGGTGGTGACGGCGAAGGCGGTACGAGATTTTGCAGGTTTGCATTGCCGTTCAGTAAATGCGAAAGTGGACCAGAAGTACTCGGCTCCGACTGCGTGCTTCCATCACGTCCACCCTCCTTCCTCTGTACGCGTTGTCGAGGCTCCAGGCCTGCTTGCGGCATGTCGGCAGGAACACGAACTCTTTTCAAGGCAGAGTAGGCTTTCGTCTTGCCGACGAGCTCTTCCAAAACCATCCTCGTTTTCTCAACGTTGGATAGTCCAGTGGGTAAATTGAACGAGTAGTCCAGACATTTCCATATTCGTTGTTCCATCGCTGGTTCCGGGTTTGCTACGTAAATCTCGCTCACGAGAAGAAGCGCGCAGTGATGTTGATGGAGAGCACCGACGATCCATGCCCAGGAGGATAGCACTGGATGCTGCTCAATTGCCATGCCATGTTCCAGAATCATGGTCGCTGCGCTTAGTGTCAACTGTCGTAATCGCTCCGGCATTCGGCTGCGAGCAGAAGTAATGTACTTCTGTAAGATGGAAATATACAAGCGGTTCGAGACGATGCCGTATAGCTCCGACGCTAGAACGTGTAATAGCTCTGTCTTGGACAGCATGGGAAGGTACTTCTTTTCCATAGCCGCTTGGAATGACTGAACACGCGACAGAAGCGAAGTGATTGTGACTTCGCTCTTCCCGTCAGCGCATTTGCGATCCAGTTTGGGACGCTCGGTCCAAAGGAAGCGATGCATCTCGTATCCCTCAAATCGCATGAGGCTGATAGTCATGTCGGTGAAGTGATTGCGATCTTTACTGACGTCTATTCCGCCCTCGCCACGCTCAGCACGGTCGAGATCAACATCGTCAATGTTCAGCGGAAAGCGAGTGTCATAGTCGTCGAGCCGGATTTGCGGACGTGGGCCAACAGCTTCGCAAGTACGTAGATCCAGAAAACATATTTGGTACCATATGAGGCGCCGTACTTGGATCTCAACCGGCGAGGAGCTGTAGGTCGTCGGGTCCCGGTGCAAACCCATACATTCAGCCAAGCGAATAAGTGACCCAGTTAGTGCAGAGTGGGCGCGAGATACTTCGTTGCGACATAGCGGAATCTATAGGAGGTTATTAGCAAAATCTGGTGAAGTCAACGGTCACGACTAGGGTAAATTGTCGTGTACCCGCTTTAGGACGGTAGACTTACGAGGTACATCACGAAAGCCTGAATTGTCTCCAATTTTGTAGTCCTTAGGAAGTTGGCTCGGGCAAGCGCTGCCTCCGTCCCTTCCCTGAAGCTGTCTATCATGGTTTGCTTTTCAACACCAAACTGGACTTGCACCATGTCGTCGGTCATTGAAACGACTGAGTTTAGCAAAGCCGCAAAGAGCACTGCTTGGAAAGATGCGCGAGGCTCCATGCCCATGTTGACTCTGATCCAGAAGTTCTGATACTGTCGCTCGAATGAAGGGCGGTGTACGGTCCGGGCTATGGTATGCACCGCAACCCAATACTGAGAGAGTAGTTTATCAACCACGACCCGAGCAGGCAGATGGGACTCAAGAGCGGTTTGGTCGATCCCGGACGCCAACACAAAGTTTGAAGATGGAGCGACATAGTCTTGGGTGGGTGCTAACCAATTTACGGCGTCTTCTTCGATGGCAGACAGAGATGGAGTTTCGCGATCTGGTAACTCTTTGAGTGTTGTAGCAAGCTACGAGGAAGGTGTCAATTTGATCCGACATGCTAAACACGTGGAGACTCACCTCATCCGATAATCTTGGACGAACAAGTCCTCCAATACGTTCTGTGATGCGAACTCTGCCCATACGAAAGCCCAGATCGACCATGTCGTCGTTGACATCGTCGTCAGGCTCATAGTAAGCTGCATCTTCAGTAACGAGATGTGTCGGCCGTAGATCCTTAGTGTCCTCGTCGTCTTCTTGGTCGCTTGACTGTTCCTGACCAGGGAGTGTACCAACCCTGGAAAAGCTTGCAGTATTTCTCAAGTTTATTTCCGTCTTGCGCGCAACATCTTCTTCAAGGCTCCTCTCCAAACGACCCATCTGCTCTTTAACCTCGGCTAGCTTTGCCTGAGCATTTGCATCAAGTCCGGAGGCAATGAAAACGCATTGTCGCGTGTTCTTGGTGCAATGTGTACATGGGTGGCCTTTGTCGCACTTCAACTTCCGCCGGCGACATTCGAGACAAGAAGTAATGAGTCGATTCCTGCGGCGAACGCGCGGTGCAGGCTGCTGTGTCCTCTTATCGGCTTCAACTGGTGGGGAAGCTTGAGACCCGTTCTGGTTCGACAATGATGGGCTCGACATGACTGAGATGCTGTTGAAGCTTGGTAGTGGAAAGCCTGAACCCTTACGGACGTAAGATCCGATGCAGTGTCTCTGCGCAGCGATTAGCGACACGGTACATGAAGGATCGAACAAGGCATGCAATACGTTACTCACTTCCCCAGTCTCCACTTTATTGTGAACTTAGGGATGCTGGATTCCGGAATGGTACCTACCTACGTAGGTATGCTTCGGAAGTTTAGGATAATTCAGGCGTAAGACCCCAGCCACGTAGATACCAAGCTACGTTTCGTGCCAAGCTTCGTCAGAGGACGTGCACATGAAGTTGATGCCCTGCTTGCATGAACTCAAGACGTCTCCACGACTTTTGGAAGGAAACGTGGTGGCTGCTTGCTTACGACCTAGCAGGACTGCCCAGGTGCCCGCCCCGCTTTAGCGCTTCCGTGATGCATCGACTACGGCGGATCAGTCTTTGTCAGCGTCATTACCCTAGTCATTGTCTGGCCAAACCGATCTTACATGACTGTAGAGAAGAAGCAGAGGCTTTTGCGCGACAATTCGTTCCTTGGAGTCTAGCAAGTACTAATATCGGCACATTGCGACACATTCAAATGCCTCTGGCCGGAACACAACGCCTGATTGTGACATGTGGCCTGGTAGCATGGCTTCATACTTGGCGAGAAACCGCTCACTAAATCAGGGGGAGACTGACCCTTTTCCAAATGCTGAAGATAGCCTCGACCGTAGCTGCGACGTTCCTGGATGCAGCCCTGGAGTGAAGCTAATGCAGTCGACTGGATCCGTCTCGCTACCTATGTACGTATCAAGACTACTCAGACGCGAGAATCATCGCAGCATCAGTACATGATAGGCCTGGAACAAAGCACGGAGCGATGCGATGCCTGGTGGGTTATTCCGGGTTCTCTTCAGGCGTGGAAGATATGTAGGACACGGCTCTGACGCGAACGCGTAACGCCTGGTCACGCTTTTAGTTGGACGCGACCCGCGACAGCCTAGGACAAAGATCCACTGATCGTTGCCGCCGCGATCTATCTAACGCACGTCCTCACCGCTTCCATAACAAACACCTTTTCCTGCCGCCTTTTGCAGAGTCCCCACCACGCACGCCTCTCGATTCTCAATCCCACCACATTGTCCATACCGACCGTCTCACCTGCCTTTATTCCCGCTTCATCACTTCCGCTTTCAAAATGTCTGTCGTGTCGCTTCTCGGTGTGGAGGTCAAGAACAACCCCGCGCGCTTCGACGAGCCGTACGAGTTTGAGATCACCTTTGAGTGTCTCGAGCAACTACAGAAGGGTAGGTGCGCCCGGCATCAAGAAGAATCACGGTGACTAACGGCAATTTAGATCTCGAGTGGAAATTGACCTACGTTGGCTCTGCGACCTCGTAAGTCTACTGCCGCTCCTGCTCGTGAACACGTCTGATCAATTCCCCGTAGAAACGAGTATGATCAGGAACTCGACTCTGTCCTCGTCGGCCCCCTACCCATTGGCGTCAACAAGTTCCAGTTCAAGGCCGATGCACCCAACCTCACGCGCATCCCCAACAGCGAGATCATCGGTGTCACAGTCATCCTGCTCAGCTGCAGCTACGATGAGCGCGAGTTTGTGCGTGTCGGATACTACGTAAACAACGAGTACACAGACGAGGCGCTGGCACTGGACCCGCCTACCAAGCCCGTCATTGAGAAGGTGCAGAGGCAGATCCTGGCAGAGAAGCCGCGAGTCACGCGCTTCGCCATCAAGTGGTACGCAGCTACAGACACTGGTGCTATTTGGCAGTGCTAACCCATTCAGGGACTCCGATGAGTCTGCACCCCCCGAGTTTCCCCCTGAGCAGCCAGAGGCCGACCTCACCGCCGACGGCGACCAATACGGTATCGAGGAGGAGGAAGAGGAGGAGGCTGAAGAGGCTGAGGGTGAAGGTGTCGCCGCCGAGGGTGAGGATGCCGCCATGGCAGGTGCCGAGGACACTGCAGGCCCCGCCGCTGACGACGACGCTGAGTCCGAGGCCGGCAGCGAGGAGATCGACATCGAGGACTCAGAAGACGATGAGGAGGAAGAGGGCGAGGAGGGCGGAGATGACGACATGGAGATGGACGAGGGTGAGGCGGGCGCTGCCAGCGGTGACAAGCCAGCCCAACAACAGCCAGGAGGTGCCCCGCAGCAGCAACAGCCTGGTGCGGATGTCATGGTTCACTAGATGTCGCGCCGGGTTCCTTGCTTGCATACTTCACCATCGCGGGTGCTTCGAGCAGGAAGCGATATTTACCGCCTTGTGGTTTTCTTCTAGTCATGTAGACAACAGTCGCCTCGCCACTGTGTCCACGCGATCTAGTCTTCACCTTGTCACGAAGAAGTTGAATTACGAATGACCCAGCAAGAATGCAATTCATACTACGTGACAAACCGCGTGTCGTGATAGCAGATATGTGGTTGAGGCTCAGATAGTCCACGAGAATGCACGCAGCCGCGCAAGCCATTCTTGGGCCCGAGTACGTGGCCTCTTGATATTCATCTCCGCAACGGTCTACATACTTGACCCTGCCGTTGGATCCGGGATGTGGCCTGCGCGGATCCGTTCACACAGGCTGAAAGTGGTGGTTCGAGTAACGCCAACGTCACTGCACAGCCTCTGAGTGAATGGCGCAGTGGTGGGAACTCGGAGGCTGATTTCCGAGACGTGTGTCGAAACATTTATAGTAACCGTGAAGGACAGGAAGGGGGGCGACATCGTTAATGATGCCGGTCACCACCTTCGGGATCCTTCGCTCCTGTTCTTGTGACCCTTAGAGTGCACATGTGTGCAAGCCTGAGGAACTCACTCGGCCATTGACGTCAAACAACGCACCTTTCACACACGGCAGAACCCTAGGACTACACGACTCTCCAGCGCCTGTTTCAGCAAACGGACTCGTCGGTCGTTTCGAATCTCTCCCTGGACTTATTCTTTCCCCCCTCAAACCTGCACCGCCGCCACTCCTGACTGTCTGTACAACCGCGCCCGGCGAGATAGTTGCACCATATACGACTACGAGGATCGCCCGCTCTCTCGTATACGATATCCGACAGATCGCAAGGGTTGCCGGCGAGTCTGCACTTAGCGACGGCGACTCAGGGCCATACCCCACCAAGTTAAGGTACGTTCATTTCCTGCTCCACGCGTCATTCGGCATGCATGGCGGCCTCGATGAGGGCTGCGCGGAACGGTCCCTGGGGCCAGGCGGCAACGTGCATCGAAGACGGCTTCCCTTGGACAACGGCTGACGCTTATATCTGAGCACCGCAGCGCATACCCTATCGCACCACGACAATGAGCTACCACCAGGGCCAGCCCAAGCTGGGGGCTACTTTTGTGCCAGGAGGCTTCGATGACTACTATATGCCGGCTCCTTCGCCTGAAGTCATCTCGCCTGCGCCTCAGCGGTTCGTTCTAGCCCATCGCCATGTGCATGCCCTGAAATTGCGGCTGACGTAGGTTTGGCGGTAGGATCATGCCCGAAGTGCCCGAGAACATGCAGGAAAACATCGCGCATCTGGAGTTGGAAGCCAACGGCCCTCGTGGAACCAACGGCGCCATGTCCCCCATGCAGAGCTACAATCAGTCACAGCACCCCAACTTCCCGCCGCGGCAGGCGAGCTACCAGAACGAGCTGCCCGTCCACAACGACCAATGGCCCGCCCGGCAAGCGAGCATCTCCTCTGCCTTCCGCCAGCCCCCCAACGTGCAGCCCCAGTCGGTCCAGCAGCAGCCGTCGCACGACTACAACCAGTTCGCCCAGAGCCACGACTCGCCCAACTTCTCGCCCTTCCCCAAGCTCCCCAACAAGCCCCCGAACGTGCCGCCGTCCGACGATGAGAAAGAGGCCGTCTTGGAGAATGCGCGCCTGCCCGTGCTCAACTCCAACGACCCGGAGATGCAGCTGGCATGGGCCCAAGACGCGCTGCAGTACGTAGACGCCGCGCAGCTGCACGAGCAGCGCATTTCAGAGATCCAGGGCGCGAGGCCGGCAACGCCACAGGTCGAGCATCAGCTGCGGCTCGATGCCATGAACGTAGTCACCTTCCTGGCCGACCAGGGCCATCCGAAAGCGACCTTCATGCGGGGCATGTGGCTGGAGTTTGGCAAGTTTGGCATGCGCGCAGACAAGAAGGAGGCCTTCAGGTGCTACTCCCGCGCGGCTGCAAAGGGATATGCGAGGGCCGAATACCGGATGGGCATGCAGTTCGAGCAGTCGAATGACCCGATCAAGGCCCTGCAGAACTACAAAGCCGGTGCGGAACAAGGCGACTCGGCCTCCAACTACCGCCTTGGTATGATGACGCTACTCGGCCAGCACGGACAACCACAAGACTTTGCGAGGGGAGTGCATCTCATCAAGCAAGCTGCGGCTACTGCGGATGAGAATGCGCCGCAGGGTGCCTACGTGCTGGGCATGCTGCAGGCGCGAGAGCTGCCTCAGATCAACGTACCGGAAATGTTTCTGCCCTACGACGAAAAGGGTGCAAGACAGAATATCGAGAAAGCTGCCTACCTCGGATTTGCAAAGGCTCAGCTGAAGATGGGTTCTGCGTACGAGCTTTGCAGTCTAGGCTGTGAGTTCAACCCGACCCTTTCACTGCACTACAACGCGCTCGCATCTAGGCAGGGTGAGCCTGAGGCAGATATGGCTATCAGCAAGTGGTTCCTCTGTGGACACGAGGGAGAGTTCAACAAGAACGAAGAGTTGGCAT